CATTTAAAAAGGGATGAATCGCAATTCATAGAAATTGGGTCAATATTAGGATTACCAATGAATGAAAAAAAAATTGATCGGTCGCCCCCTATTCCTGTGAAACTAAAGGATTCTGAGGAAGGAAAAGTTTTCAAAAAAAAGAATTTTTTTAACGAAAGGGAGATTTGGTGCCTCAAAAACTAGACTGTTAAATTTCAGAAATTTGGAGAAAAACGTTGGGAAAACAAAAGAAATTTTTGAAAAATTAAAAAAGTTGATATTGTTGGGAAGCAATAGAAAAACATTTTTAAACTTTTATTAAAACATCTAAAGGTCCCTTTACATTTTAAAAACCCAAATTTTGCAAAGGGGGGATTTACATATGCACAAATTTGGGACATCTCTGGGAGGATAAACCTTTTGTTGGCCCCTGACAAAATCATGCTGTTTGGGTTTAGGCCCCGACCTGAAATTGGGTAGTTAAAAAAAATGAAAGCTTGAGGGGTTTTTCAAAACCGTCCTGTTAAAAATTGGGGAAAAACGACATTAGGTTTTATCGGGTTTAGTTTTAGAGGTAGGGTACGAGTCAGGGGGGATTGTCAGTGGGCCGTCACATTAGTTGGGGTTTTTAGCATTTAGTATCCCTCACATAAATAAATTTTATTTTGATCTAAAGGGGATTCTTTAAAAATGCCATATAATTTCTCTTAAAATTTTTACTTATTTTCCATTGATAAAGTTCAACTAATCATTTAAAAACCAACAAATTTTTAAAAACACCTGCAGTGTTTTGGGTTTAAAATTAGCAGCCTAAAATCTCAAAAACCCACTTTTTTTTTTGTCGGCTTTGCTCTGGGTACTAGTGACTCTTGTAAATTTCCCACTGTTTTTTAAAGTTTCATGGGCTTTTTTAAAAAAAACTTTAAAACTTTGCTGGTACGAGGGTTTCTATGGGGAAACCCTCAGGGTTTTTTTAAACTGGGTTTTGGGGTTTTTTTTGGAAAAAAAAATTTTAACAACTCATAAGGCAAATGTTATCTACCACCTTACAATGCATAAGGTGGAGTGTCACCTATAGAAACATTTGAAACAGAAATTTATAGCCCCACGCCACCGGAATAAACCATACCAGGGGGGGATAGAACCCCCGATTTGAGGCCTCAAAACCCCAAAACCTTTTTTTTTTAGCCACTGGACCAGCTAGCCACAGTGGCCCAGGGGCTAAAAGCCTGGTTCCGGAGTTTTGAGGCTGGGGATCGCGGGTTTCTATCCCCCCGTGGGATGGCTTGTTTGCAATGGTCTTTTCGATTTCCCTGAGACATCAGGGTTTAACCTTTTTTTCCCCCGTTTTTACTACTTGGGGATTGATAGTGGCTCTCAAAACATCTAGTACTTTATTTGTTCGTTTCTGCTAACCCCATTGCCAAAATTGGGGGAGGAAAAAATGGTTTGATTTAGAGATCTTGTACAAGGTTTCAACAAAATTTTCAAGAAACCCCAAATTTCAGAATTTAAACCCCCTTACCCGTTACTAAAAGGGCTTTTGGGTGGTATGCTGCAATAATGTGGGTTTTTTAAAAGCTTTACTTGTGTCTCACAGTCCCTTTCCGCAAATAGGGCCCCAAAAAACAATTCCCGGGAAATGATTTACAATTAAAATCATAGAGGTTCAAAATAGTATTAACTCAGGGGAAAGGGAAAATGCATCCCAAAAAGTTAAAAGATGGGTTTTTCAGGTAAGTTTAATTTTAAAAAACCATAGGGAAATTTAAATTGGGAAAAAAAATTTAAACCCAAAAGCTACAGGCACACCTGGGGGCCCGCATGAGCGACCTAAATCCCCCCCCAGTTTCCCAAAAACTGGGGAAATCCGGGGGAAAGCCCCCCACCCGGGTTTTTGAAAAAAGGTCCTTAGGTAAACCCAGGGGGATAACCCTCAATAAAAGGGGCCCCAAGATGGGGGGAAATAAAAACAACAGTTGGGGAAAGAAAACACCAAATTTTCTACCCGGGAACGAAAAAGGTACCTTTAACAAAGGAAACCCCCGGAAAGGCCAAGAAAGTTTTAAAAGGGAAACATACCCAAAGAAAAAAAGAAAAAGAATTAAAGGGGAAAAAAAGGGGAAAGGGTCAATTGAAGAAAAAAATTTTACCAAAGAAAAATCCCGGTTAAGAACTCCCTTTAAAAGCCCCAAAAAAAGGGGAATCTTTCAAAAAGAAAGGGAAAATTAAACCCAAAAAAAATGAGGGGGTTCACAAAAAAATTAGAAACAAAAAACTTAGGAATTTTTACTCCAGAAGAAGGGGAGAAAAAACCAACGGGAAATTGCAAAAACCCAAAAATTTCTTAAACCTACAACAAAATCCCCCCGGCCCAAAAACTCCTTTTTTGAATTTGGACCACACTAAGGGGCCCCCATATATCTTTGGAAAACTGGGAAAAAAGGGGAAATCCTTAAAAAGGAACAGTTTGAACCGGGGTGTTAAAACCCAAAACTAAAAAAGACAGCCAAATAGAAACCCCCAAAAATTTTTATCCCGAAAATCCCCTTGGGAAATATGGACATTAGTTTCAAATTTCCCCTAGACAAAAAAAATAACCTCCCACTTTTAAACACCGGACCACTTCTGGACAGCTCTAAATTTTTAAGAAAAGGTGGAAAACCAAAAGCAGTGTAGATTTCCGGGGAAAGGCTTTTGACTGGAAATAGGAAAGGGCCAAAGAAGGCCATGGGGCCCTTAAGGGAGAAAATAGGCATTTAAAAAAACGGTTTCCCCAAACCCCAAACAAAAAATTTGAAAAGAAATAGACAGCAAAGGTTCCAAATTTTAGGGCACCCCAAACATTCCTTTTAAACCCCCCTTTTGGGTTTTAAGGGGGGAACCCTGGGATAAGCTGCCAGCCCCGTGACCCCAATATTTCAGGTTACCCCGGGGCAACCCCCCGGGAAAAAACCAAAAGGAAAAATTTATTTACAAAAAAGATTTTGGGGGAAATTTTTCAAATTTCCATCAAAAATTTAAAACCAAAAACAAAGGAAAGGGCCCAGGGAAAACGGGGGGGGTAAGGCAATTTCTTTTCCCAACCCAGGGGGAAAAAAGTAGATGAAAAGGCAAAATCCCCTCAATAAAAAGTTTAGTGGCCCCAAGGGCCCCCCCCCGGTTTTTTCTGTTTCCTTCATCCCCCAAATTAACCCATGGGAAAGGGGAAAAAGTAATCCCGGAAAAAAACCCGATTTTTTGGGGAACTCTGGGTGGCCCAACCCTTCCGGGGGGTTAAAAATAAAAGGAAAAATCCACTGGGAAAACTTTAAAAATAAAACCCCCGGGGTAAAGGCTCCCCACCCTTTTTAAAAAAATAATAAAAAAAAGTGGAAAAGGAAAACCAAGGGGGAAAAGGCGGGGGAAAGGGGGAAAAGAAACCTTCGAGGAAAAACCAGGGAAATAAAAAACCAGGGTTTACAACTGCAAGAGAGTCTTCCCCTTCCTTTGGAAAGCAGGTTCCCCGCCTTTAAGGATTTAAATTAAAGAAAAATTTTCCCTTAAAACTTTAAAATTTTTTAATCACCAAAAAAAAAAGGGAATTTTAACCGGAAAAAATCAGGTTTTTAAAAATTTCAACCCGGGAAAAAAAATAAAAAAATGGAAATTTTTGGAAAATTTTTTAAATTAAAGGGGGAAAAACCCCGGGGTGGGTTGGGGAAAAAGGGGAAAACCAAACCCCCTTTTTTTTTCAACAAACCGACTTCCCCCCTTTCAACCATCAAAGAAAGGGACCAAAAACCAAAGCTTGGAAAAAATTAAAGGGTTTAAGAAAAAATTTAAAAAAATATTTCAAACCAAATTTTTAAAATCAAAAGGCTTTTTTTTTATTGGGGTAAACCCCTAGAAAAAATTTTCATTTTTTAAATTATGGGTGCCCTAAATAAAAAAGGGCTTCCCCGGGGCCGGGGGCAAGCCCCAAAAGAATTCCGGCTCATCAATGAAATTTTTTAAAATTTAAAGGGGGAAATTGAAAAAGGGGGCATTCTTTCAAATTTTCATTTAAAAGGCCCCAAAAAAAAAAAAAAGGCCCTAAAACCCCCTTTTTCCCCCAAGGGGGGCGGGGGGTGCGGGGGGGCAAAAAGGGAACACTGTATCAACACCCGGGTCCCAGACTATTCAACATCTTACCAGAAGGTATCAGAAACACAGCTGGAACAAGTGTAGAAGCCTTCAAGAGGAAACTGGACAAGTATCTTCACCAGGTGTTAGATCAACAGGCTGTGATGAATATGTGGTCACCAGGCCACTAGCAACAACTGCCTGGTTGATCAAGCTAGCACCAGATGAGTCTGGTCTATGGCCGGGCTCCGGGAGCAGAAAGACTCCCAGAACTCATCAGAGATATATCAAATTAAAGATAATGTTTACCTGTCATCTTACATTTTCATAATACACCAAAAAAAAAAAGCCTACCATTTAACAGGACAAACATTTTTCAGGTTTTTAGCTGAACTGGTGAAAAAAAAATATAAATACAATGGAAACCATTACTTGAACAATGCTTTGCCTCACCTATATGACAAACGCCCAGTGATGGGTTGAATGTTCTTTAAATAAAGGTCCCAACCATTTTTTTTTTCATTTTCCACAATCTTTAGATTCTTGCCATCGTCTTCACCTTATGGCTGAAATTTTGGTACCGAAAAGTTGCTTAAAGAAACATGTATGCACAAATTAAGGCATTTAAGATGAAAAAGTTTAAATAAGATATTACAAGGACCAAAATGGAAATATGTCACACTTTTTTTTTGGGTTATCCTGGTGGGTAATTTACACTATGTATAATAATTGTACTTATGTGTATCTGTCCCTAAATAAACACGATTGGCTCCCACAGTCATTGGCGAAATGTTTCCTCATTAATGTTTGAATGTATGATCTCGTGTCTCTTCACATGAAAGATGTTTAGTTAAGTAATTTGACAGGAGGGTAATTAGAACAGGAAGGTCATTACTAACATGGTTATCATCTTGCAGAAGGGCCACCAGTAATCAAGGAACATCCCAGCAGTGTAGTTGCTCGTCGTAACGACCCTGTCACCCTCAACTGTGCTGCAGCTGGTGCTGCACGCATCAGGTGGTTCCGTGATGGTGAGGAGGTGGTCACCTCTACACAAGATCCTCGCTCTCACCGTGTCCTCCTGCCTGCTGGCTCCCTCTTCTTCCTCCGTGTCACTACCACCAGGAAGGATAGTGACACTGGCACATACTGGTGTGAGGCTTCCAACAGCTATGGTGCTACACGCTCTCAAAATGCCACACTGACTGTTGCAACCCTCGCCTATGACTTTCAGAGACAAGCAGAACCCATAGTGAAGACTCGTGTTGGGGACTCTGTCTGCCTACCCTGCCAACCACCCAAGGGCATTCCTGTGCCAGACCTGACCTGGCTGAGAGATGGTCGCCAGGTGACCAATAGCAGCCATCTTAGTGTCTCTCAGGCAGGTGACCTGGTCATCAACAAGGCCATCCAGGAAGACTCCGCAACCTATGTGTGTAGAGCCAGAAATGCTGCTGGTACCAGGGAGTCCACACCCACACAACTCACTGTCATGAGTAAGTTCTTGTCCACACCCACACAACTCACTGTCATGAGTATAACATGTTTGTCTTCACCTTTTCATATAATATGCTGCTGTATAGCCCTTGTGGCTTAGCGCTTCTTTTTGATTATAATAATAATAATATAATATGCTGCTCATGAACCTCATGTTTAAATCTAAATATTAGAGTTGGTATCACACAGTCAGGAATTAAAAAACTTATGATAAAAAATCAACTTTTCCCACTATTTAATTTTTATATCAGTAAAGTTAGTGATTCATCCTCAACATTTAATAATAATAATAATAATAATAATAATAATAATAATAATAATAATAATAATAATAATAATACATTATCTTACATTTGGCAAAAACATTTTTTAGGAGAATTCAAGCAACTCACTTTTACAATAGTTCTGTATTCTCAGCTGTGCCGTGGTTTGAAGAGCGGCCATTGAACGTGACTGCTCCTTCAGGAGTGACGGTGGAGTTGAGGTGTCTGGTGCGGGGGTCACCCATGCCTTCAGTATCCTGGCAGCGACTAGAGGGCAAGATGCCACAGGGACGCACCAGGATAGATACCCAGCATCAACGACTAGTGCTGGAGCAGGTGGCACCCATTGACTCTGGTGTATATGTCTGTGAAGCAGAAAGTGAAGGAGGAAGAGTAACAGCCCAAGCTACTGTCACTGTCGTAGGTGCTCCTACTCTAACACAAAGACAGCAGCGCCTTCAGGTAATGACAGGAGACACAGTACAAGTCTCATGCTGTGTGGAAGGTAAGCCACAGCCTTATGTACTGTGGCGCCTCGCCACACCAGACAGAACTGCTGTTCTTGCCCCTGGACAAAGTAATGACCACATCTCTGTGTCAGATGATGGTCGTACTCTGTGGTTAGAACATGCAACAACAGAAGACAGTGGCACATATTACTGCTGGGGTGTTAGTAGTGGTGGAGGTGTAAGTGGAAGAGCAGAGGTGATGGTGGTGTCAGCTCTTCCACCACCAGTGATGGGTGTCGGTCCCAGAGATGTTAAGGCCACACCAGGGAGTACTGCAACATTTCACTGTGAGGTAGTGAGTGAGGCAGCTCAAGTCACTATCTCCTGGTGGTACTGTCCAGCTATCCACCTGCCACCCCGTCAACTATCACAACACACTGCTGATCACCGATTCTCTCTCCCAAACAATGGTGCCCTCATCCTCAAGAATGTGCAACTTGATGACTCAGGGATCTACACCTGTCGAGCTACTGCAGACACAGGCACAGTGGAACAAGCAGCAGTACTTCGAGTAGAACACAGTGCTAATATTGCTGAACCACTGCTGCTGCCGGCACCTCCCACCAAGCCACGTCTTATGGCCATGAACCAAACATCAGTGAAACTAAGCTGGCTTCCCAACTCTCAAATGGGTGAAGACCCAGGTCAGTGGTATCGCATAGAGTACTGGAGACAAGGTTGGGATGAATGGCGGGTAGCTGATGCTGCCATGATGCAGGAGTCATGTGTGGTGAGCCACCTCACTCCAGGGCACACTTACACCTTCCTGGTCCGTGCTGTCAACAACAGAGGAGCATCGTTCCCCAGCCCCTGGTCAGACCCAGTCACTACCAAGCTTTCCCATGACCCCAGCCTTACTGTGGACCAGGTACGCCAGGCTCACCGCCGCCTCTCTCGCCCCATCATCTCCCTCAGTGATGCTGCCATCACTGCTCCTCACAGTGTGCTGCTTAGGTGGGACTTCCTGGCCCCAGCAGATGTGTCTGTGGAAGGTGTGCTGGTGTATGCTGTGTCCAAGACTGGCACTATTCAAGTGGCCACTGTCCTGGGTGCCTCATCCTCCTCCCACCTCATGCACCACCTGAGTGCCAACACTCACTACACCTTCTTCATTGTCCCCTTCTGGCACAGCATAGAGGGAACGCCTTCCAATGTTCACTCGCTTATGACACCAGAAGATGGTTGGTTATCAACTAATTTTCTGATTTTCCTGTTCGTTTTCTTGTACTGTTGGCCTTTTTTATTTTTAAAATATTTCTTATTGTCAAGATGTGTACATTGCTATGTAAAAAATTGCATTATATCACATACCAGTGTTTTACATTTGAGGAACATTTGTCCTTTTCTTATAAAATCCTTTATTAAACTCTCTTAGTACCTAGGTCTTTTGTGTATCATGAGCTCTAGAATACCCTGCTTCTGGGTGGATATTAAATTCACAATAGACTCAGTGCTGCAGCTCACTGGATGAACATACGCCACACCACAAACTAGCTGGTTTGGAGTAAAAATTAATTTTCTTTTCCTATTGACAGTTCCTTCATCTGCGCCTGGAGACGTGCATGTGACAGTGCTTAAGGAAGGTTCTGTACTCATCAAGTGGTCAAGTATAAGTGCTGAGGAAGCCAGAGGGCAGCTGGTGGGTTACCAGGTAACAATAAGTCACAATGGTAGTCAGACAACAGAGATGGTGGAGAGTCCCTGGCTGGAAGCTCATGGTCTCCTGCCTGGCCGCCTCTACACTGTGCGTGTGGCAGCTCTTACAGCAGCAGGTTCTGGGCCCTTCAGTGGTCCAGTCTTGCTGGATGCTGGGCCAAATGATGCCCACAGTATTCAGATCAACACTCACAGTGATGGCACTGTGATATATGCATCACCACAACTTGAGTGGCTGATGTACCTGCTAATACCACTGGTATTGATGGTGTGTGCTACAACTTTGTTGTATGTAAGGCGACTACGTCGCAAAGTGCCTGGTTGTAACCCAGTCCACACTCCAAATGTGTACCAGGATCCATCCATCTATCCTGACCACCACTCCATCAATATGTACAGTGAACGCAAATCATGGCGGGCCTCAGAGAGTGACATGGATTCCAGTTTGTCATCAACGCGACTCCTGCGTCCAGACCAACTGGTAAATGAGTATGCAGAACCCCGGATGATGCAACAGCAGCGACTCAGTATAACATCAACAGAACCATATGCCACTACATCATTGTTAACAACAGCCTCGCCTCATCTTAACACCAGTGCACATTGGCAGTGTAGTGATGACTCTGGCGTACAAGTCAATTGGAATGCCTTCCTCCCACCACCCCCATCTTACCCACCTCCCCCTGACCTTGACCTGGGTGATCCAACTGGTAGTAGCAATGTATACAGAGACCGAAGGGTATTTTCCTCAGCACAGATTTACAAAAAGAGCAAATCAGAGCAGTATGAACGTCCATGTGATGCTGCCTTGGAACACGCTTATGATCAGTACACCCAGGAGGCTTCCTCTGAGGGCAGGGATGGTTCCCTCTCCTTCAGTACGCGCTTAGACCGCCGTCAAGTCCTTGCTGACTATCACCCTCCACCATCCGCAAAACCCCAACATAACAACACACACTAGTGCCATGTCATGTACATGGGAAAGATAGACAGAACGCACAAGAAGGCTAATTATAGTATAGTTGCCTTTAAATCTATCTGGGTATGTATTAAAAAGTACAGCAAAAAGCTCTCTCCTGGCCCTCCACTCCCTCCAACAACACTAGGCTATCACACCTGCAGTTCAGCACCTCACATCAAGTAATAAAAATAGAATTATCAACAATTTTATCATACAGTAATTTCCAATCTTAATGTTTTCACTGAAGACATTTTTTGCTCATGTGTCAAGTATTCACTGAAACCTTATTTCAGTGTCGTGACTTTTAATAGAAATATATTATGTACTCGTACATTACAGTATAGTGTTATCATTAAATAATGAGGTTTGACAAACATTGTTTCTGTTGCCAATATTTGAATGTAAGTCTAAATTTTTTGCATCACGTTTTGCGTATATCCTCGTAACCCCAGTGTTACTGAAGCCCAGTTTGGCAACCAGTTATATAATGATACACTGAAACCAGGTACTTTGTACGGCTATATACTGGTACAGATCAACTTTGTACCATTATATAATGATACAGTTAAACTTTTCTTCGCTGTACGATTGTTAACATCCATCCTCTCTGACCATATAATGGTACACTCCCACCCTACACTGACCGTATAACAGTATACTTACACCCTCCACCACCATAAAATGGTACACTCCCACCCTACTCAACCATATAATGGTGCACTTTTGCCCTCTATAACCATAAAATGGTATGTTTCCACCCTACATGATGATACAATGATACACTTACACACTCCTCCAATGTATAATTGTAAACATCCGTCCTTTGCTACCACATAATGGCTCACTCTATGACCCCATAATAGCACACTTTTATCCTCCACAACTTTCAAATGGTACACCATGACCATGTACGATCTTGCAGTAGTACAATGACCATCCACGACAGGGTTGTGGATGGTCACCCATCCACGACCCTGTACTGTACAATATGACCGTCCACGGTCGTGTGCTGGTACACATGACCACCCACAACCCTGTACTGTACAATATGACCGTCCACAACCATGTACTGCAACATTATGATCATCCATAATGTTGTTCTGCAGCATTATATTACACTCCATGATATTGTACACACACACTGTGACTATCCACGACCCTGTACTGGTACACTGTTCCAGTCCATGACCTTGTACTAATTCATTTTGACCATCCTAAGTAAGTAAGTTTATTCAGGTATACACAAATACAGTTACATAGAATTATCATACATAGCAGCATATGTGTAGAGAACCTAGGATAACCCAAAAAAGTCAGACAGAGTGACTTATTTCCATTGGGGTCCTTTTACCTTATTATTATAATATAAAGGTTATAATATTTTCTTATTATTCTATAATGAAGATAACATCTTATTATCATACTAAAAAGACTATCTACTACACGAGGGTCATTAAGACTATCTACAATACGAGGGTCATTAAGACTATCTACTACCCGAGGGTCATTAAGACTATCTACTACACGAGGGTCATTAAGATTATCTACAATACGAGGGTCATTACTAGGAATAAGGTAAAATTTACACGTACGTTAGCTAAAAAATAAAAAATCATTCCCTCCCTTTCTGTAGCTACATTCATCAGACACCTTTTGGCATTCTTCTTGAACTTATTCATGCTATGGCTGGCTTTGACATGTCCAGGTAGTCTGTTCCATTCCTTTATTGCTGTACAATTAAAGGTGTTTGAAGCCTGTGGGTACTACAAAGTTGTGCTTTCTCCCCCTAGTACTATGATTGCTTTGGTTCCCAACCTTGACAAAATTGACAGCAAGATATTCTGGACACTGTGAGAAATTTTATAAACATGATTTAGCTTCAGTTGTTTTACTCTGTCTTCAACATTCAGCATATCCAACTGCTGTAGTTCATTCTGGCCTACATGTTCTCTTGGTCCCAGCCCCAGGATGAATCTTACGATTTTGTTCTGGGTGATTTGCAGTCTATCTTTCAGTTTTTTTTTGTAAAGGCAGAGCACCATGAAGAGCAAGCATAATCCATATGGCATTGTATAAGGGCTAGACACAGTGTCCTGCGAGCCTCAGTAGGTAGACACTGTGCTTGTCTATACAGGAACTTCAGTTTGGCATTCGCTTTCTTTACTACACTGTTCCCTATCAATTCTCCTGACATGCATGGGTCAAAGGGGATTCCCAGATATTTTACTGATGAAACCAAAGTGATGGGCTCCCCATTACACTGGACATTAAAATTATTTACCCTTCTCAGTTTATGTTTCGTGCCAAAGAGAATGGCTTCAGTTTTCTCGAGGTGTAATGATAGTTTGTTGTCTGCTAACCATTTGCTGCAGGACTCCAGTTCCAGTGTTAAAAACATTAGCTATATCTTGTGGGTCTTTACCTGACACTAACAGAGCACTGTCATCTGCATACAGTAGGAGTTTGCACTTGACACTGATAGGCATGTTATTGACATAACATAAGAATAATAAGGTACCCAGAATACTACCTTGGGGAACTCCATATGCTATCAGCAGGGGTTCTGATTCCGTTTTGTTGATTTTGACAATTTGTCTCCTGTTGCTAAGGTAGGACTTAAACCAGTCTACAGAACCTATACCAATAGCTTGAAGTTTCTTACACAATATATTGTGGTTGACAGTATTGAAGGCCTTTTGCAGGCCTAAGGTTACCATACCTATGAGGTTCCCCTTTGACATTTCAGTTCTCAGGTAATCCATCAGATTAATTAGGGAGGTGTCTGTTGAGTAAGATCTTCTAAAGCCCGATTGATAGCTATGGAGAATGTTGTTGTCATTAAGGTTCTTAACTACTTGAGAGTACACTGCCCTCTCTAGAATTTTGGATATTATATTGAGTATACTAACAGGCCTATATTTGTTTACATCAGACCTACTATTTTTCTTGAAGATAGGAGTAACTCTGGCCTCCTTGAACCCCTCCAGTATGGTATTAGTGGTGATTGATAGATTTATTATGTGAGCAATAGGGATTGCCAGTTCAGAAGCACCATCTTTTAGGAACTTAGACGGGATGTTATCAGGGCCTGTGCTCTTAGTTGGGTTTAACCTGCTTAGTTCTTTTTGAATAAAGTCATGAGATACACTTACTAGTTGACAACTGTTTGGGGTTACCCCTTTATTGGTATAGTATGTTTGAAACTTATCAGTCTGTGTTAAAGGTATTTGATGCAGCTGGTAGTTTACTTACTAGTGTTGATGCAACAGATGTGTAGAGGTAATTAAAGCAATTTGCCACCTTAGATGTTTCGTGGCATACCTCGTTATTGATAGTGAGTACTATGTTAGACCTATCTACTGGCTTATGGCTATACCCCAACTGTTTTAGTTGTTGCCAGAGCTTTCTGGGGTTATGCTTATACTCTTCAATTTTTGAGCAATAGTGCTTTGCCTTTGCTCCTTTTGTAAGTCTCTGCACTCTGTTCCTCACCCTTTGGAATTCATTTAGTGCTGCAATATCCTGTCTGTTTGCTTTAAATCTTTTTAGCAGCTGGTCTCTGAATTTCATATTATCTAATATCTCAGTAGTCATCCAGGGTTCAGTTCTTCATTTAATCCTAACCTCTTTAACTGGTGCAATATTATCAAGGATGGTAGTGAACATTGTTTTGAATTTTTCCCAGGCATTGTTTTTGTCCTTGCAACTTATTTCTGTCCAGTCACAATTGTGTAGCCTGTTTACCAGTGTTTCTTTACTGTAGTTTCTAGTTGACCTTATTTTTCTTGTCCTGTGTAGGCCTATCCTATCCCTAGTGATTTTCCTAGTGCAGCAAATGATGAAATGATCACTAAGACCTGTGGTAATGACGCCTGACTGACTAATGTTCTCAGCACGGTTACAAAGTATGGGGTCATTTAGGGTGGCTGAGAACTGTGTGATCCGGATTGGTGTATTAATTAGTTGAGTGTAACTATTTAAACCTTGAATTTGCTTATACCTTTTGCATAGCCCGTTATTTTGCTGCTGAAAACAGATATTGAAGTCTCCCAGTATTATTGTCTCGCAATTGTTTTCAAGTCCGGACAAGACTTTGGAAAAGTCTTCTAAGAACTGGTCCTGGGTGGGAGGGCGGTAACTAGTTCCTACCAAGATGGGTTTGGTCTTGGGAAGCAGCACTTCAAACCATAGAATCTCCAGTTTATTGTTATTTAAATAAAGTCTTGGGTTGTAATTTAAGTTATTTCTAATGTAGGCACATACTCCACCACCCTTTCTGTTCCTATCTAAGCGTTTTATATTGTAACCTTCTATTTTGACCTCGTCGTCAGTCACCATATCATTCAACCAGGATTCAGAGATGGTTATAACTGCCGCCCTAATTTTGTTAGCTAGAATCCTAATCTCTGCTAATTTAGGAAGAAGTGATCTTGCGTTGACATGAATAAAGTGAAGGCCTGTTTTCATAAAACAACTATAATCATCAATATATGGCAATGGGTCATTTGTATTAAAAATAGGTAAATCAATGTCATCACTGCTAAAGGGTAACTGTGCCAAAGTGCATTTGTTACACACAAAGTGAATTCTGGCACCGTTGCTATAATTGTACATACATCCATCATGCACCCACCCCTTACACATTTTACATAAGGTGTCTTTTCTGTTTTTCTTGCATACTTTAGTACAGTGTATGTACCTGTTTGGTAATGTTTAAGATAATAATGGCTGTATTGTCTCACATTGACCTATGTATGCATTACATATGGAGTTAAGGTTATCATTCCTAGCTACTATACCATCATTATCACCGTCATTTATCTGTCTGTTTTGCCTCTGCACAATAGTTTGAGGTCCTGGATTAATTTGGATATCACCACTTAAGAGCGCTACAATAAGAGCTGTTTGCCACTGTTTTTGTTTGGGTATGCGGTGTTGCCATACCTTGCGGTGATAGTGACATTTACTTTTCTGGTAGGATGGCAACTGTTGGGCTTTTACTGTCCAGGGTGCTGTTACTCCATTCACCTTTTCCAGCCTCCATGACTGATTTCTTTCTTCATGGAATTGAAAAAGAAATATAAATATAATTATGGCAGCCTGTACCCCCCTAATGCCTGCCATTTTCCCTCTTCCCTCTTTTACTCATATACAATAATATTTATTTCTCTTTTCCAGTCACCTAGTACACCCTAGT